CACACACACACACACACACACACACGCACACATACACACACACACATACACCAACAAACTAACAACGTACACATTTAGATCTAGTTCTAAAAATGTCCTCCAAAACAACAATTTGGATTGTACTAAAAGTAATCGTTGCGACATAATACATTGTAAATGTCCTGAGTGTTCTTCAGAAATCCGGAAGACAATGTGAATGCACGTGACGTTTTCCTCCCTATATATACGTGTATTTAGTTTGTAATTTTACGTTGCTACGCGCAGAAAAGACAACTACTTGCTGCTTAGAATTCGAGGTCCTTTATGGTTATAATTAAGGAGGTAAAGGATTATATTATCGGAGAGCAAAGAATTTAATTGAGACAATGGTAACATTTGTTATAATATTCAGCATATTATACTGGTTTATATTTTATTACATTACTATGCCGTCTACTTGAAAGCGAAACTAGTGTCTTGATGAACAGCAATAACTTTAAAGAAAGGAAAAGATTAGGGCAAATATTTTTTTTTCAAAAGCAACGTGAAATTTCGTGTAAGTTTTTTAAAAAGGCATGTTGACCATTAAATAATATATGCATGTATTATGGGGTCTCGGGGTAAATCAACAGAGCAGAGGACGAATCTTCTGTATTAGTGAAAATGAGTCAACAATAAATAGGGTGGGTTTGGGGCAACCCGAAATGTGAATGTGTCTGAGTCAACACTTCGAGTGTGTGTGTGTGGGGGGGGGGGGGGGGTGAAGTGTAAACCACAAAAAAGGGGGTGGGGGGCAAATCAAGTGGGGCAGGGGACAGATCTGTGATTCGTTAGTGTTTGAGGGTCTACAAATGGGCCAGGGTTCCAATCGATGAATGATGGGAATACATTGACATTTGAGTATATGGAACACATCTTTTTAGCGTGTGAATATTTATGCGGGTCATGAAATGAAACAGGGGACGCGACTTAGAGTGAGTATATGTTCCCTAAAATGGAACTGGAAACATGTCTAAGTAAGAGTATATATGTTCCATAACATGGAGCAGGAGACATGTCTTAGTGTGAGTATGTATAGTATAAGGTTTTACGGCGCTCGCAACTGCTAAGGTCATATGAGCGCGCTTAGTGTGAGTATATAGATCTATGTTCCATCAAATGTAACAGAGGAACACATAATAATATTCAATTGTGAGTTATGCGGGTCATGGAATAGGACAGAAGGACATAATATAGTAATTCAAGGTTGATTATATATGGGGTCATCAAACGGAACAGTCGAGGGACGCATATTTTAAGTCTAAGTCTATGAAAATCATCAAATGGAACAGAAATAAATACATTTTTAAGTGTGAGTATGTGAGACGGTCATCGAATTGTACAGAAATAGAATGTATTTTAAATGTGAGTATTGGGGGGGGGGGGGTCATCAAACTGAATAGAGGGCATCTACATTCAAACATGCAAGTACAATAATAATTGAACTGATTTACACATTATATAGTACCGGGTAGTTAGAAGGTCCAACTGGTAAACTTACGCGGAACTCAGGAGAATCAAAACCCAGAACTTTGACTCAAAGTGTTACTTAATGGGGATCCACAAATTGGTCGATTAAGAAATGTGTAGGCTACCTATGAATGACTTGGAGTTCAAAGTATGTTGACATCAAATTGTTGTTGTTGATGTTAGCGATCCAGTAGCATCTGAGCGTTAACTCTTCTGCATGATGCCATTCGGTAATAGTTGCATGTTTGTTCTAATTGTTGTCTTGAGGAGTAGAGGCAATTAGATGTGTGGGGTAGCTTGGGAAGAAAACATCCCCTTAAATCAGTTAGTTTTCTACAAAAGAACAGATGATGTTCCACTGTCTCTGAGGGGTAGTCACATAGTGGGCAGGCAGCAGACTGCTTTACTCCAATTCGGTTGAGATGTTGGTTGAGGGGTACATGTCTAAGTTGGCAGCAGGTGGTGTAATTCGTAGGAGTTTCAGGCTGAGGGAGGTTAGCTCCTTTCTTTGCGAGAGCATCAGCTCTTTCATTTCCCGGTATCCCAGTGTGGGCGGGAATCCATTGTAGGACTACTCTGACGTGGTGCCTACTTATCAAATTATGTAGACTCCAAATCAAGTGCAATATATCTTTGTTCACATCAGTCCCACTCTCAAGTGTCTCTAGTGTTGAAAGGTTGTCTGTAAAGATAACGATGTCTGTGGTAGCAAGTGGGTTAGTGTCAAACAAGTAGTTGATGTAGTTTGCTGTGTTGGTGATAGCCTCTTGTTCGGCAATGAAATTGGAGCAGAAGGACCCGCTGGAATTAAAGACTTCTTTTTTTTTATCCCACAGGGCAAGTTGATCACTGACCCATATTCAGCGTTGATTGTTGCCTTACAGGCAGATCCATCAGTATATGAGTGGATCCATGTTGGTGGATAGGAATCAATTGTTTCAAGGCCAGAATGTTTTAGTGCTACAGGATATGTGTTTTTATTGCTCTTGTCCAAAAGTGTTTTCCTAA